GCCGGGCAATGGTGGTATAAAACTTTGTACTCACTAAGATAGGATTAATAGCATTATTTTCTCTGAATTTGACATATACAAATAGACTGGATAAGCCGGGTGGTGGTGGCGCACACCTTTAATCCCAGCACTCAGGAGGCAGAGACGGGCGAATCTCTGTGAGTTCTAGACCAGCCTGGTCTACAAGAGCTAGTTCCAGGACAGGCTCCAAAGCCACAGAGAAACCCTGTCTCGAAAAAAAAAAAAAAAAAAAAAAAAAAAAAAAAAGTGAGATGCTACACTTCCTTTAAATGCAACCCGCCTGCCGCCACAATAAAGACTGTATCTCCCGTGCTTATTCTCCCATTCGTGTTCTAGGCTAGACAAAACGCTTTCCGAATCCGACGGGTGCTTCTTCTAGAAGCCCTCTTTCAGAAGTGGGACAATGATGGCTCAGGCTTTCTGAATCTGAATGAAATTGATGATCTCTTGTACACATACAAGGAGGGGATGGAGAAAGAATCCATGAAGAAAGGTAAACTATCAGCATCTTCCTATTTAAGTTGCAGCAAAAACTTTCAGTTTCTCGTCTCTGTGCCATATACACAAAGTCAGAAACGAGCATTCCAGGTGGAGAGGGACTCGGTTGGAAAAGTTCTTGTGATAGGAGCTTAGGCTCTGAATTTGGATCTCAGCATCTGCATAAAAGTCAGGCACCTCAGCACTGGGGAGGCAGAGACCCAAGGATCCCTGGAGCACAGTGGTCAGCCAGTCAGTCCAGCTAAATCAGTGACCAGGTTCAGTGGGTGACCCTGTCTTGAAAATAGTGGGAAACAATATAGGAAGTCAGCCAGCATCAGTCTCTGGCCTTCATACGCACTCATAAATATATATCACACACACACACACACTCACACACACACATGCAGATGTGTGCACGTTAGCTGTTCCAAACTTGCTGAAACATTTAATTTTTTTTCTCCTTTCAATCCTGGGATTGAATTTACAGCCTTATGTATGATGGCCAAGCACTCCGAACTGTATCTTTCTATCCCTTTCTTTAGTTTTAAATTTTTATTTTTTTTTTCTTTCTTCGAAACAGGGTTTCTCTGTGTAGCCCTGGCCATCTTGGAATTCACTCTGTAGACCAGGCTGGCCTCGAACTCAGAGAGATCCACCTGCCTCTGCCTCCTGAGTGCAGGGATTAAACTAAACATGTGCACCACCACCATCCAGCCATTAAAAAAAAATTTAAATGTTTTATTAAGCTTTCCAGACTGTTTTTTTAACTTATTTATTTATTATATATACTATAATCTTTCTGCGTATATGCCTGAAGGCCAGAAGAGGGCGCACCAGACCTTATTACAGATGGTTGTGAGCCACCATGTGATTGCTGGGAATTGAACTCAGGACCTTTGGAAGAGCAGTCAGTGCTCTTAACCACTGAGCCATCTCTCCAGCCCCCTCCAGACTGGTTTTAAACTGGCTGTTTAGTCTAGGCCAACCTTGAACTTTCAATCCTCCTGCCTCAGCCCACTGAGTAACTGGGATTGCAGGCCTATACCACCAGACCCAGAAGTTCAGAGCTATTAAATGGGAATCAGTTGAGTACCAGTGTGTGCAGATGAATAGGAACCTGTGTGTGCTCCAGAGGGGAGCACACTGCAGAGTGTTTTGAGCCCAGCCCTTGAGCCCTGGCAAATTCTGTCTGTGAACTGATTTCTTTCACTTCTAAGGCTAACAATTCCCAAACCTGCAGCATCATTGCCTGAATTCATAGTTTCCCTGCTTTTCTAAGTTCTAAACTATCAAGTCTGGCTGGGTCTAAAGTTCCTCTTCGGTATGCTAATTCTTTATTCTCTTTAATGATTCTTCTGGAGGCGTGGTTTTGAGACAGGGTTTCTCTGTGTAGCTGTGGCTGTCCTGGAACTCGCCCTATAGACCAGGCTGGCCTTGAACTCACAGAGATCCACCTGCCTCTGCCTCTGCCTCTGCCTCTGCCTCTGCCTCTGCCTCTGCCTCTGCCTCTGCCTCTGCCTCTGCCTCTGCCTCTGCCTTCCATCCAAGCATGTACCACCACTACCCACCCTCTTTACTGATCTTTTTCCTCTTCCTTTTCTTCTTTTTTTTTCTTATATTTTTACTTCCTCGAGCTGACATAAAACTACAATTGTTTTCTAGAAAATTGTAAGCTGGTTGTTTATAGTGTGCTCTTCCCACAGGTTTGTCTGACGTTTCCTTGTGGTTAAACCCAGGTTATTCATCTTTTGGCAGGATCTGAACACATAATCAATATTTTATTTTTATTGAACTCTATTAGAAACCCTATGCTGATAACATTGATCAGTTGATTAAAGTGATATATGCTGGGCTGGATATATAGCCCAGTAAGTAGTGTACTTGCCGCACAGACACAAAGCTCTGAGTTTGAATCCCAGCACTTCATAAACTAGGTTTCATGGTACACATCTGTAGAATCAGGCTGGTCTCAGCTACACAGCAAGCTCAAGGCTAATCGGAGATACATGATAACTCTCAAAACGTTTTTCTATTGAGCCCTTCTACTTTAAAGTCACTTTTTTCTGTTTATGAGTAGTATTTTGTAAATGCACTTTGAACCTTTATAAAAGTTTTTCTCTTCTGTCCACCTTTTGTTTATAATAGTATGCAGCAGTTTCTTGTGGCTATAATCCAATCTTATCATTGTTTTCATGCTCATATTGACCCAGATTTAGTCCTTTGTGTCTGGCTTCTATGTCCTCTCGTCTCTCCCACTCTCAACTCTGTATTATGAAAATGCTCAAATGCACAGCCAGTCTGAACGAATCTTGTGAAGAGGCCCCAAACACCCACAGCCTAGGCTCGACCATCGACACTTTCCCATGGCTTCTTGTCTCTCTGTTGACTCCTTATCTTTCCATCTATTTCTGGTATTTTTGATTCATGTTAAAGTGAAATGTACACTTCTACCTGAATACACAGGTATGCATGTACTTCCCACAAAGTTAGGTGTGTAAATTTTAAGTGTAAATTCATGAGCAGTGTAGTTGGTACTTCTTAGGAGGGATAGAACAAAAGGCTCCTCCATGTCCTTTTACCCATGCAGCATTCCCAAGGCAACCACTGAGGGGTTTCTACCATAATTTCTCTTGTCTAGAGCCTCATGAAAGCAGAATCATACGATACACACTCTTTTAGGTGAGGCTTCTTTGCACTCAGCATGATTTTTCTTGAGACTCTTAGACGTTGAGGGTTTCTGAACCACCGTGCAGGTAGGTATTTTCTCTTTTTAAAGGAATGCAGACAGTTCTCTCTAGCGTGTTAATGTCTCCATCGTTCTTGAGCACTCCTTGGCTTTCTGATATGAGATCTTCCGGGTACATCCTATGCTTCGCCTGTTTCCATCCTGAATAATCAGCTTCCTCAGGAACTACCTTAGCTTTTTTTTTTTTAATTGAAGGGTAGTGTTTAGAAGTCAAGATGTGATTCATACACGGGCTCATTTCTCCGAAGGCACTATTCTCGGGTTTCTCAGGAGAAAGAGGTAGTTCAGAGTACAGCTAGGTTTGGGGGTTCAAATTCTGACATTAGGAGGTGTCCAGTTCTTCCCTTCTTCTCTTGCTTTCAGCCCAGCCCTCTCTCTTCTCTGTTTTGGTCCTATTGTCATACAACCCTTTTCTTTGTGGTAAGCAGGGTCAGACTCACATTATCTCAGGATCATTCAAGTCAACAGGGATGAAATGGAATATCCTCCACCTGATCACTCGAGCAAAAAAGTCTGACATTCAGACATGATGGCAAACACCTTTAACCCTAGAGCCCAGGAGTTCAAGTCCAGCCTAGTCTATGCAGCAAGTTCCAGGCTATCCAGGACTGAATAAACAAGCAAACAGAAAAGACCTGGTGTCATTCCACACTAAACCAGCCACTCTGACTAGAGGCATGGAATGCCCTGGCTGGTATGACCCTGGAGTACATGTTCTACCTCTAAAGCTACAATGGATCCCACTCAAACCCACGAGCAGCGATGAAAGGAGAGTGGTTTCCCCAAGGCAAAACCGTAACTACAAACACTAGGAGGAAAATCAGTGGCTGCTTAACTACGGAAGTAAGAGCTCACACATGACAATTACAGGTTCAGGCAGTGCTTCCTAATTGTCAAGTAAACGGTACTGGATGGATGTTCTCATCATTAAAGGGAAGGAAAAAGCACAAGGAAGGCATTTTGAGAGAAAAGCTAGGACCCACTTGAGAAGGAAGGGGCATGTGCCCTATCAGTTACTCTCCTCTGCTGTGACAAAAATCCCTAATCAAAGCAGCGTACAGAAGGGAGGGTTTACTTTGACTCTCAGTTTGGGGCATGGGCCATCATGGTGAGGAACGTGTGGCGTCAGGAGAAGGAGGTAGCTGGCACATTGTCGTTGCTGCCACAGTCAGGAAGCGAACAGGGGAGCATGCTGGAACTCAGCTCACTTTCTCTTTTTTCTTTAGTTTAAGGGATCTAGCTCAAGGAAGGTACTCTGCCACCTCAATTAACCCAATCTAAAAACTCCCTCACAGATAGGCCCAGAAATTCGTTACCAGGGTAATTATTGATCCTATCAGGTTAGCAATCATTATAAGCCATTACATCTGTTTGCCTTGTTAATGTATAATAAATGTCAAAATGCTTTCATAGATGCACCAGGAGACATGTACCAAAATGCTTATAATGCAGCTTCTAGGAGTGGAATATTAAAAATACATGAAATGCATATTGCCAGGAGAACAAATAATCAATGATGTTTCACTCACATAATGAATACAGTGGCTAAGATGAACGAGTCAAAGCTACACAAATAACATGATATACTTGTAATTTAATGTTGAATGAAAAAACAAGTCCTGGGGCTGGAGAGTCCAGGGGCTGGAGATTCCTGGGGCTGGAGAGTCCAGGGGATGGAGAGTCCTGAGCCTGGAGAGTCCTAGACTGGACTTAGTTTTTATTTTTATGTCTATGGGCATTTTTGCATATATATGCATATACACCATATGCATGCCTTGTGCCCTTGGAGGTTAGAAGAGGGTGTCAGATCCTCTGAAACTGGAGTTACAGATGGTTGTGAGATGCCATGTGGGTACTGGGAATCAAATCTGGGTCCTCTGGAAGAGCAGCCAGTACTCTTAAACTTCTGAGCTATTTCTCTAGCCCCTTGCTTAAAAAAAAAAAAAAGCAGTGGGAGTGGGGGCTGTCTCTAACTCTTTTGCCTGCTTTTGGGACCCTTTTCCTCCTACTGGGTTGCTTTATCCAGCCTTATTTTGAGGGGAGGGGCCTAGTTTCATTGCACCTTGATAAGCATGTTTGGTGGATATCCCCAGGAGGCCTGCCCCTTTTTGAAGGAGTAGATCTGGGGTATAGGACAGGTGGTAGGGAGGGACTAGGAGAAGAAGGAGGGGAAACTATGACCGGAATATAATATATGGTAGAACGATAGCTTTTTTAAAGTGCAGATGCAGATATATGGAAGCCGTGGTCAGGAACTATGAGTAGGAGAGAATACCATTCTTTGATGACACGGAGGGCAGGTATGATTTGAAACTAGGCTAGATTCAAGAGGGAACTTGAATCATGGAATTGCATAATACAAGCTGTGTGGGTTGCTTTAGTTTGGCCTTTTGAGAAAAACAAGATCATCTCAGGCAGCCCAGGCTGTTTCCAAACCTCAAGCTCTTTCTGCTCTAGCCTCCTAAATCCTGGAACGTATAAGCACTGTGTGCTGTGCTGTGTGTGTGTGTGTGGTATATGGTGTATGTGTGTCTATATGTGTGTATGTGTGATGTGTATATGTGTTTATGGTATTATATGTGTGTGTGATGTGTATTGTGTGTAGTGTGTGTTTGTGTGTGGTGTGTATGTGTGTGTGATGATGTGTATTGTGTGTGGTGTGTATGTGTGTTATATATGTATGTGTGTTTGTGGTATTATATGTGTGTTGTGTGTGTGATGTGTATATGTGTGTTTGTGGTACTCTGTGTATTTTGTGTATGTGTGTGGTGTGTGTATGTGTATTTGTGGCATTATATGTGTGTGTGATGTGTCTGTTGTATGTGTGTGGTGTGTGTATGTGCATTTGTGGTATTATATGTATGGTGTGTGTCTGGTATTGTGTGTCCTGGAGAATGAACCCAGGGCTCTGTGGATACTAGTCGAGTCCAATACCCCTGAGACATAGTCCTAGCCCAACAGGTAGTGTTTTTAGTTTTAAAAATATGTATGAATCATTTACTATTAGTAAGCCTACTATAAAGTGATAAAATCTATTTGGGGTTATAAAAGTAGGAATGGAAATGAGTGGCTAAAAGGGGCAGTGCCAAAGAGCAAAAAGATAGGATTGGGAAGACAACAGTCAGGAGTTACAGTAGGCTCTAGGAATTCATCTGGCTGGAGGTAGAATTAAAAGCAAACGTAGCCAGCATAGAAGTCATACTGAATTCATACAGGAAACCAGTCTCAGTGCTCAGAAATTCCTTTAATGTACTCACTTATCCATAGAACATACCTGTGAGGGCTTCAGCTTTCTCTCAGGTTAATAAACTTTAGTCCATTTTCTCTTTCTCACGTCTTTTAGCTAAACTGCACATCCAATTTCCAAACTCCCATTCTGGTCATGAAGTCAAATTGTCTTCAAAGCAATTTCAGAGGTACATAGAATTGGTTGTGTCTGAACTCAGGGGCAATGAAGACCAAGTTCTGGACAGTGTTGTGGAATTCCTGATGGGTGCTTTAGAGAGAAGCCACACTGAGGGCCTAAGGAACTGTGCAAGACAGAAATGGCTACATCAGATCCAACATGCTGCAGAGACAAGTGGGGTGTCCCTGGAGCCAGTGTATACTGAGACCTTTAGGGCCCTCACACAGGTATGCTTTCTAAGGTGATGTAAGAGGAAATATGTTCTCACAGGATGTGATATTCACTGGCTACATAGGAGGAACACATAAAATTTGCTTGGAAAGGAATCACTGAGTGATGCTACAGATGATTTATTTATTACAAAAAATATAAATGACTCAGACCTAAGTGAGGGGCTGGGAATGTAGTTCCATTGCTAGGGTGTCTAACATGTATGGGGCTCTTCGTTAATCCCAGTACTAGAGGGAACATAAAATGGGAGAAGGGAGAGGCTCTGACTGCTAAATCCAGCCTTGGGAGAGGTGAGACTTCTCTAGTAGTTTGGTTGTTTTGCTTTTCTGGTTTTCAGTTGAACCCCAATATCTGTCTCTGGGTTTTTATTATTTGTGCTACAAATGATGTCCTGGAAATGTATTTGTTCTGAGAATCAAATATGCCAAGGCTTATATAATTGAATGGTAATGAAAAATGCCAGTAGGGTGCAGGCTGCATTTACTTTGCATGATGCTTGCAGAATAATTTACCCATCAAAAAAGAATTTTTAATTATTTAAAGTTTATCTTAACTGTAAAGAGAAACAAAATTATGACGTTTGCAGAAAAATGGAGCATTTTAGAAATATTAGTGATGTTACCCAGACTCAGAAGGGTAAGAATTGCTTGTTCTCACTCATAAACAGAGCCTAACTTTTTATAATGTGTATCTGTGAATAAAGGGAATGGTGTTACTCAGAGTTCTATAGAGAAGCCAAACTGACATTATACACACACACACACACACACACACATGCACAAACACACACACATGCACACACACACACACGCACACACATGCACAAGCACACGCACACACACATATCTACATGTGGGATGGCATACACCTTTAATCCCAGCTTCCAGGAGGCAGAGGCAGGAGGATCTTTGTGAGTTCAAGACCATCCTGGTCTACACAGTGAGCTCCAGGATTACTTAGAAAGACCCTGTCTCAGACAAAAGGTGTGAGGGGGAGGGGTATTAGAATGGCTTACAGGCTGTGGTCCAGCTAGTCCAACAGTGACTGTCTGACAATGAAAGACCTAAGGCTCCAGTAGCTGTTTAGTCCATGAGGCTGGATGTCTCAACTGGTCTGCAGTTTCCACTGGAATCCCGGAGAAATAGACTCCAACACCAGTGAAGGAATGACCTTGCCAGCGAGAGTGAGAGCAAGCAGGCAAAGAGCAATGCTTCGTTTTTCCATGTCGTTTATAGGCTACCCCCAGAAGTTGTGGCCAAAAGTTAAGCTAGATCTTCCTCAAAGGATCCAAATTTAGGGTGGGTCTTCCCCCTCAAATAATTAAACCAAGAAAAATCCTTCACAGGTGTACCCAGCATCTTATGTTTTGGTTAATTTGACATGTAGTCAGGTTGACATCAAGAATAGTCACCACAGGAATGATACCGACTGTGAGACTGAATGAGAGACCACGAGAAGGGAACGAGAAGTGTTGAGGAGAGAGGCGAATGCGAAGGGTCACATGTAGCATGAAAACAGAAAGGAGGCCATGGGGGTGGGGAGGAAAGAGTGGATGGAAGAAGAAAGAACAAAAACAAACTTGGATGAATGCCACAGTAAAACCTAATCTTCTAAGTCTTCGTCTCCGAGAAACTCTTTTCCGAAATGACCCTGATGAAATCCAGACGTTAGGAATTCCCTGAGGCTGGAAAATGGCTCAGCTGTTAAGTGCACTTGCCGCTCTTGCAGAGGACTCAGCTTCAGTTCCCAGCCCCCACCTGGTGACTCACAATCACCTGTAACTCCAGTTCCAGGAGAGCTAATGTCCTCTTCTGGCCTCTGCTGGCACCAGGCACGCAAATGCATGTAGAGAGAGCAGCCATACACATGACATAAAAATAAAGAAATCTTTTTAAAACCTGGAGCAGATCCTAGGGAGCTTTGCTTTTCCGTTCCTGTTTAGATGGAGGAAGAGAGATGAGTAGGCTGGAGGCCTCTCTTGCTACGCCCTCGGGAGTCAATACGCTTTGCTGAGGCCCTCACCTCACTAGGATTGTGGTTCTAAAGGATCTAAGTTTTGAACCTTTAATTTGATTAGAGTTAAGAGGTTTTGTTGAGGTTTGGGTTATGTTTATTTTTAGTAAAGCAACCTAACTCCACATAAGTCACTCATTCCCCTAAATACAAGTCAGGTTTGAAGGGCAATGTCCTTTTTGCACTGCCCGTGACTGGTAATATCTGCATCATTTATTCAATGAAATTATTGGTGCTAGATTCCCAAATAGGCTAGCAAAGGGATTAGGGGATCTCTGTAGCCCTTGACAAATACAAATCCATGATCAGAAATATCTTGTCCCAGGATGCTGAGGCTCATGGAAATAAGAAGATCAGTGCCCACATTTCCCTCTTAGAAGAAAACATACTCCTGCCAGAGAGAGGGGACGTTCTCTTGAGGAATGTGGCTTGTACCCTAGATGATGCTCCATTTGTACTGAACAAAGTGCTCTACAGGGACATGAAGGGAATCAGGTAAGAACTTGAAGAGTCCGTTTCTTTCTATGCACTTTAAAGATAGGGTCTCATGTACTTCAAGCTGGCCTCCAACTCCCTGTGCAGTCAAGGCTAGCCTTGAACTCCTGATCCTCTTGCCTCTCTACCTTACAAGTCTGGATTACAGGTTTGTGCCACCATGCCTGGCTCTGGGTATATCTTTCTAAAACAGTTTTTTCCCTTCTGAAGTGAATTGGCTTTAAACCTTAGTGATTTGCTCAAGAGAGAACTGTCTCTAAGTCACCAGCACTTCCAGAATGGGACCTGATGGGCTTCCAGTCCTAAGTGGTTTTTGTTGTTGTTGTATTTTTATCAGATTATTTATTTTGTGTATACGGGTATTTTGCTGGGATGTATGTTTGTCTGTGCATCACTTGCATGTCTGGCGCCTGTAGAGGCCAGAAGAGAGTATCAGATCCCCTGAAACTAGAGTTATGAGCATCATGTGGGTTCTGGGGATGGAACCCAGGTCCTCTAAAGAGAAACAGTGCTCTTAACTGCTGATCCATCACTCAAGCCTCATGATCCTAATTGGTTCTACCAGATCATTTCTCATTCTGAAAAAGGTTCACTGTTTAGGGGCTCGGTTTTACACTGTCGGCTCTATAATTGGGATCCTCTGTTAGAATCTATGGTTGGTTCCTTATTTCTGTTTCTCTTTCGTGGTACTGGAGACTGGAGTGCATGCCTCACGCATGCCACACACATAGTCTCTTCCTTTGAACTACTTCTAGCCCTAAGATTTATTTTTAAGTTTTCCAAGTCAGACACTCTAAACTGGTGATAGTACCTGATCCACTCCCCTCCATATAATGCTTAGAATTATAGAAGACTGAATTTTGTCTTCTCTGTGGTTTGATCTAAAGCCCGTGACTTTTCTCTATCCTTTTTTATCCCTTTTCAACAGCTTTACAGTAGTGGATAAAGGCAAGCCAATCCATGTCCCACAAGTTCAGCACCATGGGAATGTCTTCTTCTGGAATAATTCCCGCAGTAAGAAGGAGCATAATGGTTCATTCCTGGCTCTGCCTCTTCAGGATGTGCATATGAGGATCTTTGGGGTCCTGGCAGTTGACACTCTTCGCGATCCTCATGAAATAAACATCTTCCTACCTCATGAGATCAAATTCTATCAGGTAAGTTAGAAGTCTACAAGAGCAGTAGTCAAGAGCTTCTCTGTCTATAGTCTTCAAAGTCAACCCCGAAAGCCGGGAAGGAGAGGAAAGCTCTAAGTAGACCGTGTCACCATACTTGTTCTGTTGCCCTTATTCTCAGCCTTCTGGCATGTTCCTTATAATTTGTGAAGGACTTGGACACAACCATACTCGAGCCTCTCTGGGAATATTGTTCATATTTCTCCTAGCACTAGCATAGGAAGAGAAGATGACGCTTTGTAACAGAACTAATGACTAACCCCCTGAGATCCACGAAAGAGGAACGAACATGTAGAAGGGTGTGCTGGGTAGCTTTAACTGTTATCTTGACACAACCAGACTAACTGGGGCGAGAGTCTCCATGGGGATTATGTAGATTAGGTTAGCCCACGGGCCTATCAGTACAGGTTATCTTGGTTGTTAATTGCTATAGGAATTGCTATTGTGGGCAGCACCATTCAAAGGCAGGGATCTGTAGGCAGCATCATTCCAAAGGCAGAGAGCTCCTGAACAGTGTAGGAGGAAACAAGTTGAGTATAGCAGCTAGCAAGCAAAGATACTTACGTTTATTCTCTTTCCACTCTTGACCATGCATGTGATGCTTTTTCAGCAGTTCTTGACCTTGAATAACTTCTTTTTTTAATTTATTTATTTATTAAAGATTTCACTTCTTCCTAACGCTGTGACTCTTTAATACAGGTCCTCATGATGTAGTGACCCTAACCATATATTATTTTCATCCTGCTTCATAACTGAAAATTTGCTACTGTTATGAATCATAACATAAATGCTTTAAGAGACAGAGGTTTGCCAAAGGGGCCATGCCCCACAGGTTGAGAACCACTGCTTTAGCTGCTTTAAGTTCCTGAAAGAACACACTGCGGTCTGGAGTTAGCCCTCTCTTTCCTGAGTTGTGTCAGGATATTTTTTTTCACAGCATCAAAAATGAAGCTAGGAGAAAGGAATATGTTTGTTTTTTATTATAGTGCTCCCTATCAACTCCTTTGCTCTCTTCACAAGGGATACAAAATCATGATACGCATCCTTATAGTTCTTGTTTAGTATTCTAACTTTTGAGGAAAATGAAGAAGCCCAAATCTTTCTTGAGAATTCATGTTTTCAAATTAGATCATGAAAATGCCAGGCACATTTCAGACTGTGAAATAGCTGGTATATTTTTATCTAATTTTATGGGTAGAAATTGCAATAAAGCTATAGATTTAAAGCCATGGATGCTGTGGTCTGTTGTAAGATTTTTCTTCAGTCTGCCAGCTCACAAATAATAACACAGAGACTTATTAATTAAAGCTCAGCCTATAGCTTGGGCTTGTTCCTAACTCGCTCTTATAACTTAAATTAACCCATTTGTATTGATCTGTGTTCTATTACATGGTGTTACTGCTCTTCCATCTTGCACCTCCTGTTTTCTCTCTATGTCTATTGATGTTTCTGCCTTTCTCCTTCTCAGAGTCCTCTCTGTCCCCAGAAATACTGCCTATTCCTCCTGCCTAGCTATTAGCTGTTCAGATTTTTATTAACACCAATTACAGCAAATATATCTTCACACAGTGTACAAATATCTCACAATATTTCCTAAAAAGGAAAGGCTTTAACTCTAACATAATAAAACTATATACAGTAAGAACAATTATCAGGTAAGAATTACATTTATAATATCCAGTCTATTTGTTTTTTTTAAAACTTTATTTTTTTATTTTTATTTTTGGTTTTTCGAGACAGGGTTTCTCTGTGGTTTTGGAGCTTGTCCTGGAACTAGCTCTCGTAGACCACGCTGGCCTCGAACTCACAGAAATCCGCCTGCCTCTGCCTCCCAAGTGCTGGGATTAAAGGCGTGCGCCACCACCACCTGGCTTATCCAGTCTATTTGTATATGTCAAATTCAGAGAAAGTAATGCTATTAATCCTATCTTAGTGAGTACAAAGTTTTATACCTAAACCATTTTCTATCATTACTTGTATTACCATTCTAAAACTATCTTTTTAGATCTTAAAAAATCTTCTTAGATAAAAAATTTAAGCTTTTTGTTTCTTAACCTTATAAACTTTGTAATTCATATGTAAGTTTCTCTTCTGAATTTGGTAACAAGAAAAACTGTAAAACTATAATTATCTTCTCTTTAACCACGTCAGAGACATGAGAAGGATAGAATATTATTTAAGTAAACAAGAAATGCGGAGCAAGCAATATCCAAAACTAAGAAACAACATAGACATCTGGCCTCCTGGACAGTCAACCATGGTTCCTCTGTAATTTTGGGACATCTGTCTTTGACCTACAAATCTAAAATATCTTGACAAACTTTTCTCTGAAGCAGGAATTTTGAAGGACTGTCCTATCTTGTCTTGGCAAAGTTCGACTATTGCTTTATTTTGAGTCCTTCTTGTTCAATTTGGATAACACACTGTCAGCAGTCAAGGCAAGGGCAATTTTTTGCCCAGTGGTTAACTTTGCCACAATAAAAGCAAACTCAATATGGAGGTTCTTTGATGTCCATCATCCTTTTTTGAAGAAAATTGGTGCTTCCAGGAGCATACATGTCTCACTGCCATGAAAATCCTTAGGTTATTAAAACATCTTAAATGCCATATTCTGTAGGTCTCTGAAGTATTTGAAGACCACCTGTCAATCTAAAATATATCTCTGTTTCACCTTGAAAACATACCTAATATGACTACAAGTTTCATTATTATAGATGACTAACTACTAACCTGTATTTCTTAATTATTTTAAATAGCTTTCAAGTACTAGAACTTTGTATTACAGTTTTAAATAAGCTGCATAGATATAATACCTAAAACAAGAATAGAAAAATCTATACAGTATAACAAAAATAACCTTGAATTTGTATCAATATACAAAAATCCATATCTATGTAAAATATTTGAGATTAATAGTTGTTTTAGTTTAAATGTAGATTTAATAATATTGCCTTTTATTCTATCATTTCTATATTATAGTTCCCCTTTTCCCCCTTCAGAAAGAGGTTCTTGAATCTAATAACCTTTGTTTAGTTTTTTTTTTCTGACCATTACCAATAACAATTTGTAACCAACCCCCCTAAATAATGACAAGCATCCATACACCACCAAATGACCAAAAACCACCTCCCCACCTCTTAGGAATATGGGTGTCATGTTCTTTAGACTGTTTCCCATCATCTTGGGGTGATAACATCTTTAGGGAACCCTGAGAAAACTGGGATAATGATCAAGCCCTGGGAAAACTAGCTGTAAAATTTGCTGTCCAGTATCCTTGTGATGGGAAAGTATAGAGCTTATCTGAAGTCCCGGATAGAGTAGTCTGTGAGCCTGGACCCTCTCAGCTAGCAGTTTTGAAGCTGTTCTGGATGCAGAATTTTGAGGAAACTGCAACAGAGGCATTCTGAGGGGCTGAATCACTTGGGATACTTGTCTTTATTGGTCCCTGGTCCTTTTTTTTTCTGAAAACACATACAAACTTTTAAAGGTAACATATATATCTGTATTAACACAATTATGGAATTGTGGTGTGCACAAGTTAGATAAAAATTATTTTTTAGTTCTATTTTTGAGCAGATAAAAGGCATTTGTCAATTTTATAAGTCCCTTTGGATCGCATAACCAAACTATAATATAAATCTCTATCTATCCATATAAAAGGTGTGTAATAATAAGTCATAAACCAACCAGATTTATCATGTCTCATCCAGTCTCAAAGTGGTTCCCCTATCAAGGAATCATCCTAGAGTTTTCTGTTTTGTTTGTTTTGTTTATTTATTTTTTTTATTTTTTGAGACAGGGTTTCTTTGTAGCTTTTGGAGCCTGTCCTGGAACTAGCTCTTGTAGACCAGGCTGGCCTCGAACTCATAGAGATCCGCCTGTCTCTGCCTCCCAAGTGCTGGGATCAAAGGAGTGCACCACCACTGCCTGACCATCCTAGAGTTTTTTGACAAGGCCACAACTGGGATTTATGGACTTCCCATCTATCCCCTCTCTGTGGAACAGTCTTATACTTGTAGGAAGAATGTGTAACTAGCATTTGTAAGTCTTGAAACCAAACATATTCTGTTCTGTTGACCTGGTGGTAAAGGTCATAGATACAAAAAAATTAATATTGGGAGTCAGGTTAATTCCAGAAATTGAGAGGCAGAGGTAGGTGGATCTCTATGAGTTCAAGGTCAGCTTGGTCTACACAGCAAGTTCTAGGCTAGACAGGCAGAGCCACACAATGAGAACCCATCCCAATAACAACAACAATAACAATAATGATAATAATAATAATAATAAAATGACTTTTCTTTTCTACGTTTATCTTATGACAGCACATATCTTTCGTAAAGTATAAACAGTTATATGGTCCTCTCTACACTTTTAGTGTCTTGATGATCCTTTTTGTGTAACAGAATCTCAGAGTACCTCCTGAGACCTGATTTTAACTAATTTGTTGATCATAGATTTAAGAGACGATTATTAGTGGCCACTTTGTAATTTTAGAAAACACAGGTTGAATTGTCTGTCTTCACAGGGCGTTGCCAATGCTTTCAGCACTGCCTATCACTATGTGCACAGCAGGGAGCATGTCCTGCACACTGTGATCACTGGCATCAGGTGGCTCTTCAGCATCACGTCTGGCATCAGCTCCATCACTACGTACTTCATTGAACCTAGCTCAGAGCAGGTAGGCAAAATCAGGCCATATAGACCTTTTCAATATTACACATTTACTAAGTATTAATGTCTCGCTAACATTTAAGAGTGATCTCATCAGGGATGTGGCTCAGTGGAAGATCACTTACGAGCATGCTCAAGGCTCCAGGTTTGGTCCCGGAACCACACACACAAAAAGAAACAAGCAAATAAAATTTTGACACCCCCCCCCAACTCAAAACTCTTGGTAGCACATAAGAAGAATCTATTACAAATTGCCTTAGGCAAAAGGGAGTATTGCTTGAACAAAAAGAAGAAAGAGCGAGTCAGTTGGGGAAGTGGCTCAGAGGATGCAGACACTTTTTTGCAGGTCTGATGAGTTCGATCCCCAGATCTAACATGGTCGTAGGAGAGAATCAACTATAGAGACTTGTCTTCTGACCACCACACATGTGGCACACATAACCCGTACACACATACATGTAGGTGAGAAAGACAGTGAGTGAGAATTTAGTTGGTTTCCAGTATGACCAGATCCAGGACCTCCTGAAGATAGACTTTCTCCTTAAGGCAAGTAAGATACTTAGGAAAAAGATCCAGTTTAAAAGGTCCAGCATTAGCCGGGAGGTGGTGGCACACGCCTTTAATCCCAGCACTCGGGAGGCAGAGGCAGGCGGATCTCTGTGAGTTCGAGGCCAGCCTGGTCTACAAGAGCTAGTTCCAGGACAGGAACCAAAAGCTACGGAGAAACCCTGTCTCGAAAATAAAAAAAAAAAAAAAAAAAAGGTCCAGCATTTGGAGGGTGGGGCTGGAAAGATGGCTCAGTGGTTAAGAACACTGGCTGCTCTTGCAGAGGATCCAGGTTCAGTTCCCAGCAACCATGAAGCCTCTTGCAACCATTTGCAATTCCAGTTCCAGGAGATCCAATACCCTCCTCTGGCCTCCATAGGCCGCTGCATGCACATGGTACACATGAGCTCATGCATGCACACACCCCTAAATATTATAAAATAAATAAATATTCCAATTTGGGTGAGCTGAACAGACAACTCAGTGGTTATGTGCACTTATTATTCTTGCAGAAGACCTGGGTTCAATTCCCAGCACCCATATCAGGTGGGTCACAACTGCCCATAACTCCAGTTCCCAGGGTTCCAGCAGCCTCCTGTGGCTTCTGTGGGCACCCGCACACATGAGGTACACCTACAGATAAGCAGGCACACGTACGTGCACATAAATTATAACTTTATTTTTAAGCTTTAATTTTGAAACCTACGAAGGAAAACTTGTTCTGACTCATCCTGGGATGCATCCAGCGGCCAAGGAGGCAGCACATGCCAGAATCATCTGAGTCAAGGAGGAAGCGGGGAGAATGCCGCTCTCAGACAAATTACGTCATAGCAATAAACATTTAAAGGCTCCTTGTCTGTATAATGAAAGCTTGCTCCAGGTTTGCTTTGCTTCTTTCTACTCATCCTTAGCTTTAGAGTTTTCCACACCATGGGGGTGGATGAAAAGGCAACATCTTTAAAAGTAAATAAGGCCAGATATGATGGTTCATGTTCACAGTCCCAGGACTTCAGAGACTGAGGCAAAAGAATTGTGAGTTCAAAGTCAGTCTGAGCTATATAGTGAGACCTGGTCAAGGAAAGGAAAGAAATGAGGCCCCCATTTTCCTCTCTCCATGGCTTGGCCAAGCTGCTGAGGCCTTGGGACTAGAGAGCAGACGCACAGTACTCTTGATGTGTGGAAGAGATGCTGAGGATATCTTGTCTCTGCATCATTCCTGGGGGGGGGGGGTAGATTGGGGATAGGAGTAGGAACTTTCAGTTACCCTCATACCTAGAGCAATCCACTCCACCTATCAGGCTACCACCCCAGAAACGCCAAAGTGGCGTCTGAGAAAGATTTAGAAGCATTTTTTTCAGGGTTTTGAGAAATAAAGTATCTAGGGCAAATGGCCAAAATAGCCAAGTCAGTCAACAAGAAGCATGAGCTTCCAGTGTTTAATTTTAGTATCGTGACAACATGGGCAAAACCACGAGGACCACGGTCCATCTGCGCAGGGCCGTTTATAGCATGAAAAGACCATGCTGAAAGGTTAGGGGAAAGGCAGTCTGCCTTGAATCGAGGTCTTAGTGATGGCATGGCAAGGCAGAGACCACAACAGCTCTCAGAAACTGGTTCTCTCCTAACCACGTGGGTCGCAGGAATCAAACTCAGGTTATCAGGCGTAGCAGCAGGTGCCAAGTTCCTACACTCACTGAGCCATCTCACCAGCCTCCCCCCTTCAAAAAAGGGTTTTTTTTTTTTTCTTTTCTTTTCCTTTTCAAGACAGGGTTTCTCTGTGTAGCCCTGGATGTCCTGGAACTCATTTTGTACCAGGCTGGCCTCAAACTCAGATATTTGCTCCCCTCTACCTCCCAAGTGCTGGGATTAAAGGCATGTGCCACCATGCCTGGTTCCAAAGGGGTTTTAAATATAATTTGAAGCCGGGAAGTGGTGGCACACGCCTTTAATCCCAGCACTTTGGAGGCAGAGGCAGATGGATCTCTGTGAGTTCGATGTCAGCCTGGTCTACAGGAGCTAGTTCCAGGACAGCTAGGACTGTTACACAGAGAAACCCTGTCTTGAAAAAAATAATAATAATAATAATAATTTGAAATATCTGTTGGATCTCTAGGTGGAAGTGTTGAATGAGCAGTTGGGTGCTTGAGTGGGGTAACTATGATCTTGCTAATTTGGTGAAGTCATTTCACTACCAGTTGTCAGTATTTTATCCCTGCCTCTGTGTTTGTAGGCAGAGACTGCTCCTCCTTTTCCAGGTCACCCAGACCCAAATAATCACACAGAAGCTACATTAATTACAACACTGTTTGCTCAATGGCTCAAGATTCTATGGGATAACTCTTATATCTTAAAGTAACCCATTACTATTATTCTGTCTACCGCCACAAGGCTGTGGCTTACTGGGTAAGGTTCCCACAACCATCTCCTTTGGCAGTTACATGGCATCTCCTTGACTCTGCCTACTTTCTCTCTGTATTTCTGTTTGGATTTCCTGCCTGGCTTTACTCTACTAAGTCATTGGCCAAAACAGCTTCTTTAATAACCAATGATAATAAAACATATTCATAGCATACAGAAGGGAGTCCCACATCATGTGTTCTTAGCAACATGTCTTAGTTTTAAAATCAAACATAATCTGGAAAACGCTTTTCAGAAATCTCAAAGGCTCTGTTAAGGGTAAGGAAGGCCTAGCAGGGCTTCAGACCATGGCCAGCTTCCAGCTTCAGCAGGCGGTTCCCACCAGCTTCCCCTAGAGCAGTGCTGCTCAATCTTCCTACTGCTTCACTGTTTAAGACAGTTCCTCATGCTGTGGTGACCCCAGCCACAAAATTATTTTCATTGCTATTTCATAACTATAATTTTGCTACTGTTATCCATCATAATTATTTGTGTTTTCTGATGGTTTTCGGTGACCCCTAGAAAGAGGTCACTTTACCCCCAAATCGGTCATGACCCACAGCTTCCAAAATGGCTTCTTAAGTATTTTCCATTTGTAACCTCCTTTTGCCCAAGACTTTTTTATATAACCCCAAAAAGTATGGAAAATAGGTTTACAAATCCAATGTTTACTAATAATAAATTTATTTTTAAAGATTCTTTTGTTATAATCTTATGTAAAATTATGAAAGAAAAAGGAAATTGTAAACTAATTAGATGGATGTGTTTGCCTACTTTAAATAAAGAATTAGAATCTTGGCTGAAGATTTGATGCTGTAGTATAGAGAACATCTTCAACAGTTTTCAGAATTGATTGCGGCATTAACCATCAATTCTAAAAATGCTACTTTACTCCAAATACTAAAGGCAGAAGTTTGTTGATAATTGTGTCCTATTCCCAAATTAAAATTCATGTAACAATTTTTATGAAACTCAAATGTGCTCATTACACATTCAACAGCAATGTTTAAAATCAAATATTCTAACACAACATAATCCATGATACACTAATTTAATCCTTGTATGCCAAGGAATAATGGGAGAGAAATACTTAAAGTCTTTGTTTCAGTCTTGTACAATAAAAGAATTTCTGGAGGTTTCACCACCCCTGATTTCAAACTGTACTACAGAGCTGTAGTAATAAGAACTGTATGGTATTGGCATAAAAGCAGATAGGTTGATCAATGGAATCAAATCAAGACCCATCTGTAAACCCACACACCCATAGATACCTGATTTTTGATAAAGATGTCAGAAATATACAGTGGAAAAAGAAAAGCATCTTCAACAAATGGTTCTGGTCTAACTGAATTTTAGCATGTAGAAGAATGAAAATAGATCCATATCTATCACGCTGCACAAAACTCAAGTCCAAGTAAATAGAAGACTTCAACATAAAACCAGATACACTGAACCTGATAGAAGAGAAAGTGGGGAATAGCCTTGAATGCATTGGCACAGGAAACAACTTCCTGAATAGAACACTGTTATCTCAGGCACGAAAATGGACAATTAATAAATGAGACCTCATGAAACCGAAAAGCTTCTGTAATACAAACGACACCATTTAAGGGGTCAAGGACACCACAAGAAAACACACAGAACCAACTATTCAGTGCCCATAGGGCCTAAAAGAGATTGAACCAACAATCAGGGAGCCTGCATGGGTCTGACCTAAGCCCTCTGCATATATATATTATGGTTCTGTAGCTTGGTCTTCTTGTGGGACTCCTAACAGTGGGAGTGGGGGCTGTCTCTGACTCTTTTGCCTGCTTTTAGGATCCTTTTTCTCCTACTAAGTTGCCTTATCCAGCCTTAATATTAAGGGAGGTGTCCAGTTTTATTGCACCTTGATAGGCCATGTTTGGTTTATATCCCTGGGTGGCCTGTCCTTTTCTGAAAGGAAATGAAGGAGGAATGGATCTGCGGGAGAGGAAAGGTGACAGGGAGGGACAGGGAGCAGAGAAGGGAGGGAAAGCTAGGTCGTGGTATAATATATGAGAGATAGATACATAGATAAATAAGTCTTTGTTTTCTCCAATCCAACCATTACCCTTCTGTAAGCAGATTATTCTGTGTATATAAGGAAGTAACTGTGGTTAATGACACAGTAGTCTTGAGTCTGAGCCAGGGTGTCTCAGGCGGTGCTCCTTGGTGTGATATGGCATGACCCGGTGCACATGTTCCGTGTCACATGACGCAAATGGGCAAAGCCTGCTGGAAACATCTCAGTCATTTTGATTCTTAGCTAATTGTAGGTCGTTGCACATCCAGAAACATTTAATGATGAAATTCTATGTGACTCCCCCCCACTACATTTGGAGGTTGTGACATACATTGAAGAGGCTAAAAGTTGAAAACTGCTTAGAAGTAAGGGAAGTAAAGATGAACGGGGAGAATGAGAAAGAATCATGCATGGTAGGAGGAGAACCAGGGGAGAGTGGAGAGTGGGGTCCTAAAAGCCACACGAAGAAAAGCTTATCAAGAAGCGAACTTTATGCTGGAGAGGTGGCTCAGTGGTGAAGGGTGCATCCTGCTCTCGCAAGGACAGGAGTTCAATTCCCAGTACCCACATTGGATGGCTCACAATCACCTGTAACTCCAGCTTCAGGGGATCTGATGCCTCTGGCCTCTGAAGGCCTCTTCACTCACAGGTACATACCCACACATAGATATACATAATTAAAAATAAAAATAAATCTTAAAAAAAAAGAAATGGTGACATGCGCCTTTAATTCCAGCCCTGGAAAGGCGGATCTTCATGAATTCAAGGCCAGCCTGGTCTACATAGTAAGTCCCAACCAAAGTAACACAGAGAGACTGTCTCAAAACAAAACAGACAAGAAGAAAATAGCTAAACATACAGCTTTTTCAAATATAAAAAATTATGTATTAAAATAATCTTATTAAAATTTCCCTTTTGGGATATTGTTTTTTAATGGCCCAGAATGTGTACAATGTCAATATCCTTAAAGCCAGAACTCACCTAAACTTCCCTTCTTTCCTCTCTTTATCCCACCCCAGAAGGTCCAATTTCTGCTTTCTAACGAGATCACTTTCTCTTTCTCAGGAAGGCTATGTTTTACGCCAAATGATGGTTACAGAGTATCTGGGCCTAACAGAAATCCATGCAGAACCCCCAACCATCTCGAGGAAGTCGTGCATCTTCAGGTATAAGCCACACCTGGCATGATCGCGGATCGGAAGACACCGCTTCTGCCTTTATTAGCATACCTGTCCTAATAGCCCGTTTATTATCTTTTAAATTTACCAGACAACACTTATTTTGTTCACAGTCCTATGAAGATTAGAATGCATGTGTTCTCCTCTCTAGCGCAAACAGGGGAGGCAGCACATGGGAAAGAGCGTCTGCCTCACTGGAGGAGCCGGCTACTCCATTTCCATAAAAACCTCTCAGTCTCTCACTGAAGCAGGCAGTGCAGCCACCCTGCCCTGCTCCCCAGCATGCCTCTGGCCACTGCGGCAGCTTCCCTGCCAGAAACTTTCTCTAAGGAAGGGCCCTTAAGTGATTAGAGCCCCTTAGGAGTTACCCAAGATTTCCCTGAACTCTCCCACCCCAGATCCCCACCATACACCTAGAGCACCTAGAGCACCAATGACAGACTAGTGCTAGGACACACACACATGCACACGCCTCGAAATAAGACTTAGTCTTTGGTATAGTGGACATCTTAGATCTCCTCCTTGGGGCTAGACTGGACAGACTGGATCTGCACTTCCTTAGATTTTCCCAATCTGCCTAACCCTGCTTCCTCAGTCCCCTGGTTTCTCCAGTGAGCACTGCTTTTAGGGAGCCTTCCAGCATTTACTTAACACCTTTTAGACTTTCAGTACATTAAAAAAAACAGCCAAACAAACAAGCCACCTTCAGATAACTGCAGTTACCCTGTGTTAGCTGTGAAGCAGAACGACCTGGGGCTGCTACCTTAGGTGAGATTGTTGAAGTCTCTGCACCCCATAAACCTCTCCACAGACGCAATAATCAAAATTAGACCAAATCAAACGGGTTTAATGGATACCAATGCTCCCTGGTGGCCTTCCAGCCCGCCAGAGAGGAGACGAGGAAAGGAAGATCAGGAAACCATGTGTTTGTTGGGGGGGGGAGCAGTTTAAATGCCCTATGGGAATGGTCTTGAGCATCTCTGGGGAGGGGTCATCATTTGTCGGGCTTTCTTGGAGCTGGAGTCTGGACTGAGGCGACTCCCAGGGGAGGGGGCTTGGAATGGAACTTTCCATCCAAATGTACCAGATTCTTTGGGTATATGGATGCCAGGGGCTAAGGTGAAGCATCCACCCAAACACTTGTCAGGGAAGGCTCTCTGCTGAAGGGTTGTTCATGAAGAGAAACATCCAACTGAGCTGAGCCAAGGGACAGCCGTGTGAAACTGATGGGCGCAGCACTCCAGGCAGATGAAAGAGCAATGGTGAGCGCTTTGGGGCAAGGAAGACATAAGAGAGAAATTCAGTCTAGTGGTGGAATGTTGTGAGCAGGCCGGCGTGTAATAGACCTGTACGTGTTTGGTTTGGTTTCAGAGATTTCCTCTTTAAGTGCATAGACACTTCAGAAGTTATTTTGGCTTCTACCAGTGGAGAAACCCACATTGCAATTCCGCTTCGCGAAAGAACAAGAGAAGCTATGGGAGTCCTTGATGTCAACATTGGCCAAACAAGGATGCTGGTGTATCAAGAGTACAAAGATCTGCAGAAAATGGCGAAGATGATCCAAAATGCCTCCGATGAAATACTGGGCGAATTCTCTGGAGAAATCGTGAAGAATGAGGTCATAGGTATTGTGGCTATGCGAACAGTCTGGAGGCATGGTTTGCTGGGAGGGAATCACAGACACTGAGGTGAAGGCCGTAGTTTCCACTATGTAGATCTTTCCATGTGAAAAAATGCCCTTGTGCAGGCTTCCCTGATGGGTATGTATGATCTATAACCTTTGCTAGGGTTATAGACCATACATAGCCAATACACCATCCTCTCAGGACCTTAGCTTAGACCACCGGCTGAGATGTTCCATCTGCTGTGAAACATATAAAATAGGCACTCTCCTTGCCTTTGCCATAATCTTAGGAGGGCAATAGTCATAGCCCATTTCGCAGGTGCAGAAAGTGAGGTTCAGTTAAAAATAAACAACAAATGGTAAGACTGGACTCAAACTTTGTTTTGGCTTAATTTGAACATCTTACTTTACAAATTAAAGAGCTGAAACCTACAAACCTAAAGTGCTTTTTTCCAAGGTTTAATAACAAGTCGCTGGCTGGGCCAAGACCAGTCCCCGAGTCCTCGTGACTCTATGTACCCTAGGCTACTCTTAGCACAACATCGTCTTAGAGAGTGGCTGAGAAGAAGGCTTGCAAACAGCCCTCAGCTAGAGTGAATTGAATAGATTTAGTCACAGTGTGTGGGATTAAAGTGGACCGATTTGTAGCTGTTATATAGAGTGTGATACAAGAAGGCCAAGTGTGGCGACACCAGCCTGTGATCGCAGCTACTTGAGAGGCTAATGCAGGAGGATCACTTAAGATGATAAAGAAAATAAAGGAGGGAAGGGGGAAAAGAAAAACAAAAACTACGTCCTGTAAGTGTTCAGTGTGTGCAGATCCTGAGACCTAAAGCTCTGTCTGAAACCTTGGGATTAACCCCAGAGACAAACCAGGCTCTCTACCACTAAGCTATGTCCCTAGTTCTATTTTTTTTTTTTTTTTTTTTTTAGTTTTTCNAGACAAGTGATGACTCAGAGTCAGTGACCTCATGACTCACTAACGATGACTCAGCACAGAGCCTCGTGACCTGGATCATAATTTCTTTGTGTCATTTCACTTTACTTTTTTTTTTTTCGAGACAGGGTTTCTCTGTGGCTTTGGAGCCTGTCCTGGCACTAGCTCTGTAGACCAGGCTGGTCTCGAACTCACAGAGATCCGCCTGGCTCTGCCTCCCGAGTGCTGGGATTAAAGGCGTGTGCCACCATCGCCTGGCCCTAGTCCTATTTTTAATTTTAATTTTTATTTTGAGACAAAGTTTCACTACATTGTCCAAGCCAGCCTTGAACGTACTATAAAGTTCATGGAACACCTTGAACTCAAAATCCCCCAGCCTCAGCCTTCCACATAGCTGGGATTATAGGTTTGTGGTACCAAGACCAACAAGAATAAGAACTCTATTCCTTTAATTCCTATGTCTCACCAAAGAAGTAGGGATCGGCCCTAGTCCCACAAAAGAGTGTGTGTGTATGTACAAACATATATATATATATATATATGTTACATATATATCCAAAGGACAATATAATTATAGTCTTCAAACTAAATCCTAACTATAGAACTCAAAATTTTAAAGGTTTTTTTTTTCAGTTTTTAATTCCATCAGATATAATTCTATTTTTGCTTTTTATTTCATGATTAGAGAAACCAACGTTGCTTAAAATCATGAGACATGGTTCTCTTTTGCCTGAAAAAAAAGTTCATACTATTTTATAATTTATATTATACTATACTCAGAATCCTGAGAAAGAATAGTATATGCAGTTAGAATGTGTGTAATTGCAGAGATGGAGAAGGCGGGAGAAGTCACGCGGGCAGGGATTCTCTTCTTCCGCATCATGCTGCAGGAGCTTCGGGAATGCCTCCAGCTCCTCACGTCCATGGACTTTGTGTCGTTGCTGCTGTATGAGCACAAACCTCACACGGACTCGACGTACTTCCAGGACCTCGAGTCCCAGGATATAGAAGCCAATGTGGTCCTTGTGCACGACATCCTGAAAGGAGTGATCTTGTTTTCCCAGCAGGAGATAGAATCTTCCCATGACTTGGAAGAGTGGGAAAAGTGGAAGTTTGTGAGTTGGGGTGTCTTTTTGTGAGTTTTGGAGCTTTTTTTTTTTTTTGTCTACAAATTATAATGGCACAACTCACAGGTATACAAGATGCAGGAACCTTCTCATAGTAAAGACATCCTCTAGCCCACCTCTGTGTTCCCAGACGACACAGCTGACATCTCTAAGCCTGTGTTTTGTATCCTTTCTCACAAGCCCTCTCCCCAGACTACACACCCCTAAGCTAAATCGTCCTGCCAGTTGAGAATGTCCCCTGCATTGTATAAGCCAGTGAGCTGGGCCCTGTGTTTCTGCTGGTGACGATGGAACTTCTCTTTCGTTCTTTGTTCACAGTACATTAACAAGTACTTAGTTGAAGATCTTTGTGTGTTTGATCCAACTGCTAGCAATGTGAAGGTTAATGTACAGCTTATTATGAACTACATCCAAGGTAAGGGTCTTCCTAGTGACGTAAATGTATACCAATAGAACAAAAACTGTGAGAGATTCCATTATAGCGAAACAAATGGTTCTTCAAGTGAATTTACATGAAAATAAAAATGTTCATGAGTTTTCTAAAAAGAAGGATACAATCAACAATTTGCTCGATCCCCTAAGGTGTCTGTGCCACATGTTAAGAATTTAAAGGTGCCATACCTACACACAGTAAATAAATAAATAAAAATGTAACTATAAAAAAAGAATTTAAAGGTGAGCTGGGCGGTAGTGGCACGTGCCTTTAATCCTAGCACTCGGGAGGCAGAGACAGGAGGATCTCTGAGTTCTAGGCCAGCCTGGTCTACAGAGCAAGTTCCATGTGTGATCTTTCCTCAAAATGTCATTACATGACGACATTACTCAAAATTTGTTAACATCTCACTACTGAGGAAGCTGAGGCAGGAGAATCACTTCAGTCCAGACGCTCAGGGCAGCCAGACACTACAAGACCCTCATCTCAAAGCAAGCAAACAGGAGCTGCAGTGAGGATTGGAACATTAGGCAAGAAGTCTTATACTTTTAGCTCCAATAAGGAACAAAAACATTTTAAAGAGCACTAGTGTACAGAAGCTGGTAATGCTAGCCTTTCAGAGAGGAGCCAGCGAGACTGCAGAGCGAGAAGGAGGCTCTCAGGTTGGAGGTAACTAGGAATCTGCCCCAGAGAATCAGCCATTTCTAAAAGCAAAGGCACAAATACAAAGGCACATTCCTGCACCGTGTGTGCAAGAGAACTAAGGAAAGAATGCGTTTTCCTCCTTGCAATTTAGGAAAAACTAATCACTGATTAGACAGAAGCAGAAAGATCTGCAAGTTCAAGGCCAGTCTGGACTATGGCCAGCTAGTCAATACTGCACAGAGACTCTGACTCCAAAACAAAACAAACAAACAAACAAAAAAACCACCCCAAATGGCCAACAGAAATAACGCTCTGTGAAGTCTCTAAAAGAAAAAACCAGTAATGGGTGTGGGGTGGGAGAACCGAGCCGGGAGCTAGGCAGAGCTATAGACTTCTCTGGACTCCCGATCAGTTCCTCTCCTTCCCCTCTCCTCCCTTCTCTCTCATTCCACCAAGCCAGACACTTCCAGGCTTCTGTGATAGTTTAGGTTGAGAGGCACAGATCTAAGAGACCCCTGGGACAAGGGAGGGAGAGACAAAGGCAAGGGCAGGGAGGACAGCCGCAGACCTCAGACTGTACGCACAGGGGTGGCAGAGCCCTGAGCTGGGTGGATGGGTGTCACGGAGATGTTGCTAGGAAAGTGAGGTGCTCCCAGGAGTTTGAGTGTGCTTGGGAATAGCAGAGGACACGAGACTCAGGAAGAATTAATGTGTTCCTTGAGTAATGTGAGTCCGGCATAGAACTCCTCTTTGGGATGCTACATGGGCAACAGTAGCTCATTCCTGGGAGTCTCTTCACGGGTGCCACAGGCCTGATTTAAAGTTCTGTTCAAAGGAATCAGTAACAACAGCAATAACAAACCTGGTCACTGTCCACTGTCTGCTGAGTGTGCGCACTTCTGTGTGTGTGTGTGTGTGTGTGTGTGTGAGAGAGAGAGAGAGAGAGAGAGAGAGAGAGAGAGAGAGAGAGAGAGACTAAATATTGAGCATGCTAGGCAAGCACTCTACCTCTAAACTACACCCCTTCCCCCTCTTTACTTTTTGTTTTGAGACAGTCTCACTAAGATGCCTAGACTGTTCTTGAACTCCATAGCCCAGGCAGACCTTGAACTTGTGATCCTCCTGCCTTGTGTCTTCTGAGGGGCTAGGATTACAACCCATCCACTGTATACTTTCATGTACTTATTCTATATTTGAGGACTTGAAAGTCCGGAGAAGTCTGCATCTGTGTCCCCAGGATGCCTAGCTCCAACCTCAGTCCCCCCTGTCTCCAATCTCTGGTTCTTCCTTTCGGAAAGAATGAAACCCTCCGTGAGCTGCAGCACCACCTCCCATATGGGATCAATTTGTCTAATTGGTATTCTCCTCTTTGGTCTCCACCAACCTGACACCTCCCTCAACCTAGGAGCAGACCTTGCTGCCGGGTTCCTTGTATTCCTGAGGGATGTTCCCCTTCTTAGACAAAAGCATAGGCACCTAGCAGTCTTCAGTCCAGTCCCTCTATCATAAGGAATCAGGATAAAGAGCAGGCCTTGCCGTTGCACCTTGCAGCTGCACCCTTAATAAGCCCATCCTCCACCCAGGGAGACGCAAAAGGCTTCTTCTGTGGCGTGGCACCGTTGTCTCAAAGGCATCTCTTCAGGCGCTGCCTCAGATTTGCCTGTTAGAGCCACCTGCTAGTGCAGGCTCTGCTCAGAACACATGCAAACTTTCACCCCTTGCCCCGACTTTGAACTCACCTATCCTCTCTCAACCGCCTTGACCACGAAAGGACTGCCCGGGGCGTTTTGCTTTCCAATAGTGCCCTCAGGTGGCAGAAATGAGAACTTCAAGTAACAGAATGGGACCCAAAGAACAGGCTTCCCTTTCATGCAACCAGCAACCCCTTCATGTTATCAATCTCTATAGCAATCCACAAAGTTCGTAGGTCACCGGACATCAGTCCTCTCTCATTTAGATGAAGGTATATCAAGAAAGTCTGAGCTTCGTGTTTAAGAAAAGGGGACGTGTTCTTTGGGCACGGCTTCCTGTTTGTGTTAGGAGAGGACCCTTTTGGCAGGGCCAACTGTTATCCAAAAATCTGGGTGGCCTTCTTGTAACTTTGAGGAAAGCTCCTATTCAGGAAGCCCACTCAGCCAGAGAAGACACCAGCGGGTTTCTGCAGTGCCTGGGATTGGGGCTGCTAGGCAGGGCGTGGAGACTGGGGTGTGGTTGATAGACCCCGTGACATCCCATTGGAGAAAACATTCTCTCTTTTCTGTAAGGTGTCGCTTGCAAGTAGCTTTTTGGCTAGGGATGGGACTTTGTGTCCGTGTCCTCCTCTCAGTGCTAGAATTTTGTCTAGCTTGAACCTCGGTCTGTGTGTGCTGTTACAGTCTCTGTGAGTTCATCTGTGTATCAGCTCTGTTACGTCTGGAAGACGTTTCCAGAAGAGGACACCTGATCTCACTGTAGAAGGCTGTGAGCCACCATGTAGGTACTGGGAATTGAACTTGGGACCTCTGGAAGAGCAGCCAGTGCTCTTAACCTCTCAGCCATCTCTCCAGCCCAAGGTAGAGGAATCTTAAGCCAAGGTCACCCTCAGTTATATAACAAGTTCAAGCCAGCCTAGAGTATATGAACTCCTGTCTATAAAAAAAGAAAGAGAAAAAGAAAAGAAGAAAAGAAAAAAAGGAAAGGAGAAAAGAAAACAAACATAAATCGCACCTCACACCCTTCTGGAATACACAGGTCAGTGTTTGGCAAGCACAGCGAATCATGCAATCCTCGCCACTACCTAGTTTGATGACATTTTCACACAGAGCTGTAGCCCCGTAGCAAGCCTCCCCCGCTAGCCTGGCAACTGCTGGTCTGCTCTCTGTCTGCGCATGCCCATCCCCAGCCTTTGCTAGCAATGCGATTAGGTAAGAGGTGCCCTTTTGTGTCTGGTTCCTTTCCCTCACTGTAGTGTTTTCAGGACTCGCTTACATTTTAGTGTGTGTTAGTTGTTTCTTTCTTATGACTACATTGTCTATATATTGATAAGCTGTATTTCATTTATCCAGTTACCAGTTCATGAGCCTCGGGGATTTTTGGTTTGGGCTCTTGGAATTGTGTTTCCAGGAACATTTGTTTACAGTTTTGCTTTTGTTTTTTATTTTGAATGTGCATATTCTGTTCTCCTGGTCAGAGACCTTAGTTAGGAGTGAAATCGCTCGGGCATATGATAGCTCTCTGTTTCACTTCTGTGGAAATGTCTCCATAGCCTTTTAACGTCCAAGGTAGCTAGTGAGGTGTTGGAAGCCTTTCTTGTTTCTGATCTTGCAAACGTTACCTTTGCTTTACTTCTCCCCAGAAGCTCTAGCTTCATCCCTTTATTCCCAAGGTTGTGAAATTTCCCAATGATGAGCCTTGACATGGCTGTCTTCACCCAATGTTCAGGGTGTTTGCTGGGCCATTTCAATCGTGAAATCCGGGTCCTCGCCTCCTAGGTGCCTACAGAGCATCAAGGTGGCCACCGCAGCTGTGCAAGTTGTGCACTGCACAGAGGTGCCCCACTGAGGAGGCAAATGGCAGCTAAATTGAACCTGGATTCCACTCACTGGGCTGTGTGCCTTCGCTTGAAGCTGCGTCAGCTTAGAAGGGGCAGGCATCTTTTTCTTGGCATGCCTTTTTCTCTGCTCAGCCTGCTGCAGGCCAGTGCACTTACCCAGGACAAGTGACCTGGAGGCTAATGGTCACCCTCCTCTCCCTTTCCTATCATCCTTCTTTGTAACACATTTTCCAGACATTGCTTATCCTAGGCTCAGTCTTCAAAATCCTAGTTTTAGTGGCTGGAGTAGAGCTCCGCAGATCTCTTACTGGTTTGCATGAAGCTAACGAGCTAACTAATGTCTCATTTTCCATTTCTTTACCTTTTTGCTTTGCATGCTGATAAATTCAGTCTCCTCTGCCAGTTCTGCTGACGGGGGAGGTATGTGTGTTTGATGTCTGAGAGCACCTGCATTGCTGTTCTCTTAGCCTTTGCTTTCTCCAGCCTCTGGTTGACATTTTGCTTAGGTCTCCAAGGGCATTGGTAATTGCACCTTGAAGTCTTCTCCTTCCTGGAGTTTCTCCTCTTTCTTTCTCTTTTGGTGTTTGGATCTCTGTCTCAGATTAAATGATTCCTGTATGAATGGAGTCACTTCCGGTTTCTATGCCTCTCTGAGCTCTTTATCTTGAGCTGTCGGCTCCCTGTGTGACAAGATTCTTGGTTACTGCCTGGAGAGGAAGCAGCTTACTCTCCCAGGTCCTGCAGCCTAACGGGAAAGTCTGCAGGGCCTCCATATTTAGAATACATCTTAGTATCCTCCCCATTG